CCCCCCCCCCCCCCACCACTGTCCTTCTCCATAGGTATACGATTTTTGTCCAGTCTCTTCCCGCATCCCCCACACCCCTTTCCCCCCCAAGAATAGTCAGTCCACTCCCTTTCTATGCCCCTGATTCTATTATATTCACCAGTTTATTCTGTTCATCAGATTATTTATTCACTTGATTTTAGATTCACTTGTTGATAGATGTGTATTTGTTGTTCATAATTTGTATTTTACCTTTTTCTTCTTCCTCCTCTTTTTAAAGGATACCTTTCAGCATTTCATATAATACTGGTTTGGTGGTGATGAACTCCTTTAGCTTTTCCTTATCTGTGAAGCTCTTTATCTGACCTTCAATTCTGAATGATAGCTTTGCTGGATAAAGTAATCTTGGTTGTAGGTTCTTGGCATTCATCACTTTGAATATTTCTTGCCACTCCCTTCTGGCCTACAAAGTTTCTGTTGAGAAATCAGCTGACAGTCATATGGGTACTCCCTTGTAGGTAATTGACTGTCTTTCTCTTGCTGCTTTTAAGATTCTCTCTTTGTCTTTTGCTCTTGGCATTTTAATTATAATGTGTCTTGGTGTGGTCCTCTTTGGATTCCTTTTGTTTGGGGTTCTCTGCGCTTCCTGGACTTGTAAGTCTATTTCTTTCACCAGGTAGGGGAAGTTTACTGTCATTATTTCTTCAAATAGTTTTTCAATATCTTGCTCTCTCTCTTCTTCTGGCACCCCTATAATTCGGATGTTGGTACGCTTGAAGCTGTCCCAGAGTCTCCTTACACTATCTTCGTATATTTGGATTCTTTTTTCTTTTTGTTTTTCCTGTTGGGTGTTTTTTGCTTCTTCGTATTTCAAATCTTTGACTTGATTCTTGCGAACCTCTAGTCTACTGTTGGAACTCTGCATAATATCCTTTATTTCAGTCAGTGTATGCTTAATTTCTAGTTGGTCCTTTTTCATAACCTCGAGGGTCTCACTATATTTCTTGAGGGTCTCACTACATTTATCGGCGGTCTCACCAGACTTTTTGAGGTTCTTACTAAATTTATCGGCGACTTCTAGAACGTTCTTGAAAAACCTTAAAAGTGTGGTTTTGAACTCTATATCCAGTCATTTGCTGTCCTCCATTTCTGTCATTTGTGTTCTGTTTCTTTGTCTCCTCATTTTTTATGCTTCACTGTGTCGATAGAGTGGTTTTCTGTGCTGGGTGTCCTATAGGGCCCAGTGGCTCAGCCTCCCCAATTACCTGAGGTAGACACTCTTGGTGCACCCCCTTGTGGGCTGTGTGCACAGTCTTGTTGTAGTTAAGCCTTGATTGTTGTAGGTATCACTGGGAGGAATTGACCTCCAGGCCAATTGGCTGTGAGAATCAGCTGTGTCTGCAGTGGGAGAACTTCTGTGCTGGAAACACCCCTCCAGGGCAAGACTTGCTTCAGTGGGGCTCTGGTGCTCACTGAGTCTGCCCCCTGAGTGTGTCCTTTATGGATCTGAGGAGTTGTAATCTGGATGGTCCCACTCTGACCACTGGGCACACTGGCTCCTGAATCTCTAAGGAGGTGCTAATCTAGCCTCTGCCTGAGGCTACCCAGCAGGAGCTCAGCTGTGAAGCAATGCAAGTTGCCGTGGGGCCTTGGGCCAGCTGTAAGTTTGTTAGATAATTTTCAGATTGCAAAGGGCCAGGCCTTTCATATGCAAAAGCCAGCACACAGCTTGGGCGGGGTGGGGGTCCCAGGGGATCAACAGGGCGGAGCAAGCAGCTATGGCTGCCCTCAGAGGCCCCACTTCTCAGTGTCCCAGCAATCTCTGTAAGCATCTCCGAGAGAACGCTGCCCTCGAGTTCCGACCGATGCCAGACAGTCCAGTTCCTCCTGTATGAGTCTGGGTCCCCAGAGACTTGCCCAGAACTGGAGCTCAGAGCTTGAGACTCCCTCCCATTTGAAAAAGACAACCGTGTCCTCAGCCGCCAGCCCTCTCCAAGTGTGCCTCCGTACCTCTGTACTTTACTTCCACACCGCACCTCCTCTGAGTCTCAGTGTGCTTTTCTTTTTCCTTCTAGTTGTAGAATTTCCACTCAGCCAGCCTTCCTGTGGTTCTGGATGATTTCCGTTCCGTCTTTTAGTTGTATTCTTGAAGTGGTTGTGCTAAGCAGCAATCTCCGATGTTTACCTATGTCGCCATCTTGGTTTTCCCTGGTTGCAAGTCTTATGAGGACCCTTCGGGTTTAGGAGAGAAAAGTAAGGATGCACACCTGGGAAAGAAGAAAGGCATGGGTGTGCTCTGGAGAGAGCCCACTTGTATGGGTCTTGACAAATGGCATTATTTCAAATTGGTCATTTTTTAGAAAATGTTTGAAAAACACTGCTTCTGATTACTGGGAGAGTATGCAGTGGGAACCTAAGTTTCCAGGACAGTTTACCTAGAATGTTTTGGTATTGAGCATGTGACTTTGCATGTTCACTGGGCATCAAACAGTCAAACAAGACATGGTCCACTTAGTAAGGGGAGAAAAATTTTGGATGGTGAATATGGCAATCCAAAGAAAAGGGAATTCAGCCCTGGCTGGTGTGGCTCCATTGGTAGGAGCATTGTCCCATATACTGAAAGGTCACAGGTTCCGTTTTTGGTCAGGGCACATACCTGTGTTTTGGGTTCGATATCTGGCCCCAGATGGGGCATGTATGGGAGGCAACCAATTGATGTTTCGCTCGCTCTCCCTCTATCTCTCTTTTTTTTCTCTCTCTCCCTCCCTCGCTGTCAATGAAATCAATGGAAATGTCATCAGGTGAGGATTAGATTTTTTTTTTTTATTCTTTTATGGTTTTTTTTCTTCCAACCACTTAAAGTGCCTCTTGGAGTCTGGAGTCCCCTGTGGTCTGCTCTGGGTCCCCACTCCCTCTCTAAATACATCTCCAGTCCTCTTCCTCTTATTCCATTTTTCCCACCCACATTGTCCCCCTTACTGTTCCTCAGACCTGCCAAGGATTCTACACATTGCCTGTTGCTGCTGTAACAAATTACTATAAACATAGCAGAGTTAACAAAAAAATTTTATCATATTTTAGATCTTTAGGTGTGAAGTGTGACAAGTCTCACTGAGCTAAGTCAAGGTGCCTGCAGGGCTGTGTGTCTTTCTGGATGCTCTACGAGGGACCCTTCCCCTTGGGTTGCTAGTATCTAGGACAGTGATGGCGAACTATGACATGCGTGTCAGAGTGACACACGAACTCATTTTT